TCAACACCTATATAATCCCACAAACGAATGTCGTGAGAAACGAGAAGTGGTTCATTCCGTGTCTAGAAAGTGCCTGTCTTCCGTGCTATCCGCAGATCGTGCTAGGCCTTACATCTGTGTCCAAGTTGCATTCAGTTGACACATGCGCGGACCGTTTGGAAAGAACGCTTATCTCTTATTTTCGGTAGGGCTACATGAGCTTCCAAGTATTGACATGCGTAACCGGCATTCAGTTGGTATCCAGAAAGCAATTTCGAACTTGAGGACAGTTCAGAACTGCATCAAGCAGGGTCACGAGAGAAAGAATACTGTAGGTTCACGGGACATAAACAAACCGGTTGGCAGGAATTCACGTCAACGATACTCCGGAGGACATTTAATTTGTGGTTTTCAGTGAAATTCGTCGCTCTCCTCAATAATGGCAAACCAGCCAGTTTGCGGTTTGACAGTCTCAAACATTGATCTGATCTCCGAAGGTAGAAGAAATCTCCTCAGTTGACATACTTCTCGGATGTCCCTTTCCGAAGAAGAGGATCGAAAATGTCTCGCGGTCAACTGAGACAAAAGTCCCGCACAAATCAGGGAACAGTGTGATCGTTGATTGACGAAAGGTTTGGCGCAATTTGAGCACTTGACGCAAAGTGAAACTGGATCAATAGATCCACGACCGGGTCGGAATACGGTTTGCTGATCGCGGGTATTTGTCACTTTTGAAGGAAAGATGGGTTGTGCTGTGTTGTGTAAATGGAAAATGAAAAACAGTCAGATCGGCTGACCGGTGGCGTAGTGGGCAGCACGCTTGCGTCCTGCCCATGAAGTCCCGGGTTCGATCCCCAGTCGGGTCGCTGTATTCGCACTGCTGATGAGACCCAACCACGTCAAAACAGCTGTCCAACGCTTCCGAGCTTTTCAGTTCACGCTTCATTTGCTATATACACGACGAACTCCCATTTGAAATGTAACCAAATCCTCCGTCACTCACATGAAATATCAATAACTTGGGTAATTCAAAATGTTTTCTCTAACGGCTGTTCCCTGATGCATCGGCTACTTGCATTACACTAGTCAATTTTGTCCATCAGTTTTCATGGTCCTTCTTAAGGCTCTTCGTGAACTGACATTTCAGCGGTCACCAAAGTTTGTTTTTATTCTCGCAGGTTGTCGTTTTTTCTTCAGGCTACTAACTCCTGAGATATCCTATGCTTCGAACGGGTTTGAGGCTCAAAATTACAGACAACGTTCACCGTGGAATACATTACTTGCCCAGGCTGTCCAAACTGATCTACCCTATCACTCTGAGGTGCGCTTAGCTCATTCACTGATTCGGACATGTAGGATGCACAAACCGCTGGGTCAGGCAGTCATTATTCTTTGGTACCGTTTTGTTTGTTTTGATTCTCTGCACCATCAACAAATAAATTTTCGACTTTCCGACGTACCACTGTGACATTCACTATCCTATCCCATCATTCCTGAGGTCGTTCTTCGGTCGGTGCGGTTATTGATACTGGTTACTCATCTGATCATTATCTTCTGTAGACAGTCCTGGAAATTAGTCCCCTGTTTGAAGTTGATGGGAAACAGTGTGTAGCGGGCGAGGTTCCGCTACTGTCACCGATAATGTGGTCCCTAACCGTCATTTTGTTGAATGCAACCTTAAACATTCGCCGTTTTAGGAGAATAATAAGTCTGGATATCATGTATATGGGTCTAAATCGTAACGTGTTGATTGTTGGTGGGGTATATATTGGTCCACGTCGTCCGTGGCTGTTTGCGAAATGTCGCTGATGAATAGTTGCCGTTAACGATGAGTCCTTTGCAATAGAGCATGTTCATTGACCTCTTGAGATGTTATGTACTCATGGAACGATTCCGGATAACATACACAGACACAATCATAACAAAAGCAGTGTTGTGTAGCACACATTCTGGTGACTTTTTGCAGAATGCGCGACTGTACTGATTTTCAAATCCAATCCAATATGCCATTGCGACATCAGAGTATTTCATCCACTCAGTTTTCAAAACTTGCCTATATAGATGAGTTCTTCAGTTTACCAACAATGGATGCTGATGTTTCATGAAAGCGATGATAGTACAAGTGTTTTTTATACAATAATTAACTAGAATCCACGTTCAAATAGTTTTTTGTCGAGAATTGACAGCTGATGTCACATGTATTCATTTTATATTAAATTCGAAAAATACACTTGTGTTATTTCCCGAAATACCCATCCCTGCAAACGGTTAACGACCTTTAGTATGCCCAATTTCTAAACAATACATATTTTTGCAAATTGGACCCTGTGTACGTTTTGGCGGCCTCACTGTCGCCCGACTTGATGCCACGCCTTACCTATCGGGAGCTTATCTGGTTCACCACTACATATTCTGGGGCTTAGGTAACCGATTTCCCTCTCGGAACAGTTGACCCTCATGATGATGGAATTTCCTTCGTCAACTGTTGACTGCACAAAATGGCATGTAATGACGATAGTTGTTTACTCCGTCCGATGTTTTGTAATGCTCTAGTGTGACACCCACCGCACTGCACCTCATTAGATCTAGTTATGCCTCGCCTAAAATAATCCGATTTTCGTTCAAATAAAACAGCTACTTTTTCCAGCTGCACACAACGTTTTGCTTTATGTCCGTTCGCTCTCGAGCGAACCAGATGGTCGCCATAATCGAAAAATTAATTGTGATGCGCGTGTGACTCTCTGTTTTTCATTTCAGCACTCGTTCTACGATGTCTTGATGCGCTTACAACGGAGGAGGACATATGTAAAGTTTTCGAAGAAACCGCTGATGTAAAAGTTCGTCAGTGCCATGTAATGCGCGATGAGGTCATGCACGTCTCCCGATGCTTTGCATTTGCTGAGCTCCCATCTGTTGCGGATGCATACAAAGTGATGGATATTGTCACCAAGCAATATAAATTGTTTGAGATAGGAGGAAAGGCCGTCACAATTTCCTATGCGAAGAACACTTTCAAGTTAGTCGATGAGTCTTCAATCCCTGCTATCTGCTTTGCTTGTTCTTTATGATATCACTGTACGGTCAGTTCACACCACTGAGTTACCGTGGGTGTATCAGTAATTACTGGTTACTTACCGTTACCGTCTATTCATGGTCATGTACTGTGTGTTGACCGAGGAGGTTCGGTTTCTTTCCTCCTACCTGAAAATAAGCACATCCTGTCCACCTTACACGTGTTCACTGACTGCATGCATTGCGAGTTGGACAGCGATCAGTGAAGTTCGCTAAACGATGATGATAAGGATGTATTATTCGTCTATATTTATAATTTAGTCGCCACTACCTAAGAGAAAAACAGAAACATCACATGCATTGATGTGCCTACACACATTAAAATAGACCAGGACATTTCCGGCTATGTTATCACATCGGGAAAGTAGTTTAGGTGGTAAGAAAAATGTCATATAACCTTTCTTCCAGACTGGGGAAATATAGGTTACAGTACAATCGATGAAAAAAGATACAAGTGACTACATGTCGGAAAATCCTATGTGGGGGAATAGCAAGCTTCCTAGATCTAAAAGTGGAAGAGCAAGTTTCCAAACCGTATTGTAAACATGGTCTACGTGGTTAGCTCCGGGAAGATTGTGGGATCAAACGACGGAGTTATTTAGCTGAGTCAGCTTTTGTGAAACTGTGATCGTTACTGAGTTCAAGCAGACGATTGATAACGGGAGTCGAACTTTTAGGAATCGTCAACACATCCAATTTGATTGAGCATAGGCTATTGGGGAAGAGATTTCCAGGTAGCAGAATGGGTAGGAACAGGCAGCTCGTTTATGTACACGAGGATGGAGGCAAAATGTCACCCTGTGAGCAGGTGTTTACACCAAAAGAGGACTGGGTCATATCGGTACTTGCGATGAATTATATCTTGCGAGAAAGTAGTTGAGAGGAACATTTAACGCATTAGATCCCAATCGGCAATCAGGGAGACGTTGTCTGAGACTACAATGGTCGAGCAAACCAAAGGCATTGGCGTATTCAATGCGGATTAGGCGGACAGTTATAGAACTTATTTAGAACAGAACCCACAGAATCAACAACGTGAACAAAGGCATCAGTATTCGAGTAAGAAGGTTTCTAAGCCATTGTCCTCACTACCACCAGGATACCAACGACATCGGTGAAAGAACCATTGCCTCCCTCCGCCAAATCAAACTGTATTTACCAATTCAAGTGTGGATGCTCAGCCGTCTACATGGGCAGGACAGGGAGGCAGTTACGTCACCGAATAGCCGAACACATCCCGGTGTGGCTTAGGAAAGCAGTGGACGACAATTTTGCAAATGTTACGTCGTCCATTGATCGGAGAAAGCTTAGATCTTCGATAACGCAACATTTACTCGAACAAAAACAGTGTCACCCCACCCCACGCATTCCATGTCATCTACAACACAACAAACACAAAATTACTGAGATTTGCCGAGGCCCTAGCCATTCACACTCAAACCTAATCTATGCAAACAACGCGAATGGTTAGTCACATTAGCTTTGCCTTGGTGATTGACTCCCTGCCCTATCTCGTCCCCCTTTTTGTGTTTTTGCGTTGCGTTGTCCGTTGTGATTGGCGATCTTGTTTTTTCCTCTCAAATCTGTTATCTCACTGACTACAAAAATCACTTGGACTGCAGTATGCACGTGTGCAGATGCAGCGAAATGACCATGGATACATTGTGCAAACTCATGTTTCTGACTTCTCTGTCCAAACTTCAGAGTATCGTGAAAATCAGAGCTGTTAATCAACAACACTTTCCAAGACTTTGAGAAACACTGAGGAACATGCAGTCGATCGATACTTTGAAGGGCTCTTATTGGAGGATGGGTCTTATCCAGGCGGCTCCCGGCAATCGGAATTCGATCCAGACGATATACGCAGCCTGAATAACTCATCAATGGCTATTGCACGATGTTCGATACAGATTTTCAATGTAAGGGGAGGGGGGAGTCTAATAACTCTGTCCCACGGGCCAAATTGTACTATGGTCGGACATGCTAATGGGAGCTCGCTTTCCCATAAAAAGGCCTGGAATTTTTACATTAATCCCATCAAGTTGAGCCTCCAAAAAAAATGGGAAGATGCACAAGATTAACGAAATCTAATGTTCGTAAGAAACACGTCGAAACGATTAAAATGACCAATCCTAATGCACAAGGACTAGTCTTAACCTGTAACGGATTGTGTCGAGGAAAGCAAACGAGAAAGGAATGTTGTGATTAAGTTCATAGCATGTGATATCGCGATAGACTACCGGCAGAAATTACTCCACGTTCATCACCGCATTTTTTCCCATCAAGCTTTAACCAAAACCCACAAACCTTTAGCCAAGACCCTCGATGCTCTAGCTACAACCCGTAGTCCTTTAGCCTTGACGCACAAACTTTAGTCATACCGCTGTAGGCAGCGATCAATGAAGTTCGCTTCACTGTATCTCGCTGCACTATAATGATGATGATGCGTCCGATGAAAATGTATCGGAATATTCTGAGGTCAACAAATGTAGAAATTCACTTTTTACAAGTGTTGATGTTGCAAAGCTTGGTTAAGAAGTGAGGAATGGCGGTCGCATGCTGCGCCACAAATTGATTGGGGAGTATTTGCACTATGTGCCCATATCGTCAAACCATTTGATGCATATCATACAGCCTCAATGTTTCTGCATAACCTGCGATACTCCAGTGGGTAAAAATCTCAAATGTAACAAACGGTACATTGTTTCGCATTCACAAACCCAAAAATGAATCAACAAGTGACACCACAAAAATGTGAACGCTTACCGTTCCGTATTTCCGCTTCAAGTGAGCTTCGTTCATGAGAGGTGGATACAGGATAATAAACACCGTTCATAAGCTAGAAGATCGCCTGATTGAAAGGCTTTAATCGACTAAAGAGCGAAGCTGAAACCAAATAAGTAAAATGGTCAAATGTGCACCAAGAGTAAAAACTTTATGAAGCAAAAGAACAGTAATGAATAAACTGCAACGTTCCGTGACACATACAGTTTTTTATTACACACATTTGTGTGGTCAGCAGCAGACGGGGCGAACCCCATAGTCACGAAGACCGGTTAGATATGTTTTGAAGCTTGACGACCTCTTACATGAGGCGAGTCATAATTTCGGCAGGAGACATTACTGCTGAAGTATCTCACCTGTCCTCAACCGAGATTCATCTGGGAGATCGTTTTAAAACATTCCTATCGCTTTGCTTTGACCTGCGCCTGCCTATTCGTTGCTAGTTCGAACCCGAGACGAATGAATTACCACTACGCAACTTGGCGTCCGCCCTCTTATAGCATGCGACGTACATAGACCAGCTATATCACTGTAAACCGATAAAAGCGCAGTTGCATACAAGACTGCCGATCGTGCTGAAACAGTCCCTTCAAATCCGACTGGCCAGTAGTTTGCATCAAGTTTTTTTTTTAACAACCAGTAACCATGCCTTTTTGTGTGACGGTTTTAGTTGTCTGTTGTTAGCTGAATGAAGAAGCAGAGTTAGAATTGAAATGTTGAAAGTAAAGGCAAGGTAAAGAAGGAAAATTCATGAAGACCGATGATGCAGGCATAGTGCGTGCCTGTGATAGCGCCAGTGTTTACGACACTCATATCATTCAGTGTATCTAACCATCGATTAGAATGATCCCGAAGCCCCGATCCAAAAAGGTGAACACAACCTATATCAACACATCTGATCGGGTTTCCATACTGGGTGTTCCACCCATCATCTGTCTCGGAAAACAATGCGCTCCGTGGCTATCCATTTGGTGAAATATGAAAACGCGTTTACCCAAAACTGTGCCTGCCCTCATTGTCTGTCCGGTTTCCCCACCGAACTGGTGCATTGTGGTGTACGGTAAACCGAAAGGAACTGGATTTCTATCCAGTTCCTGTAATGACCAGTTATTCGTTGTATAGGGAACTACTGGCTGAACTGCTCTTCCAGATTCTACGCAACTAGCAATTACCTTGATTGTAATCGTCATCTTTAAAATGGAACTTCAAGGAGGAGGCTGATTTCACACCGGTTGCATTGCTCAAATCTTCGTTTCTTCAACAGCTGCCACAGCACCGTTATGCTTGCCTCATACCCGTGATCTTTGTGTTTTTTAGCATCCGCGCTTCGTTTGGTTGCAGAGATTGAAGCGCCCAAAAACTGACTGATTTAGTAGTTCGGCTCCTTTCTAGTAAGGCACACTTACTGGGTCGTTTTGCGGTTGTCTTCTCTCTTTAAGATAATGAGAACGGCTTTTGACTGTCTTTTACTGACCTTAGTGTATTCCTTGGTAGTGGAGTTGTAGACATTTCATCCGGGGATTGCTTTGCTTTGAGTTGCAAATACGAACGTTTGGAAGATTTAAGCATCTAGGTATCTGTTGCTTTTCTCTGATCAAATACTGTTGGAGTCTTTTCTGAAGTGTTTCGTAACCGGTTTTTTCCAATCTCTAACTTCTTTTGAACAGCACTATTATGGCAACTTTAAAAACTGAAGGCTCCTTCAACGCTCATCTAAACAGCAGTCGAAATATGGCAGCGGATTTGGGTCAGATTTCGAAGGGCATGCAGTCGAACAACAACCCGGAGAATATGGCAATCAATGCCGTGGCTGCTTCGGCTCTTCTCAATCAAAATATCCCATCTGGGCCAGCGGTAGCACATGCTGCGATGCAACAAAAACAAACAGAGAAGCAAGTTTTAACTGCGATAGCTAGATCAATGCTCTCTGCGAACGAACACTTGGCAGTTTCTGGTTGTGGTCCAACCACCGTCACCCCAAACACCCAGGTCCTTCCCCCGCCTGTATTTCCGTTTAACGCAGCAACTGCGTCAACAACTGTTTACCGTGAGTTAACTGCAAGATATTATAAACCAAGATCCATACTCCTACTACTTTAATTCGGCAATTCAAAACTCAGGATAAATTGCTATACAAGTAGATTCCCGCTGTATTTCTTCCAAATGTGAGTCAAGGCTCGAAATGTGATGATCGCGGTAAATAATGATTCCCATCGTATATTGATTGGCTTATTTGAAGCCCCCGTTCTACAGTGTAATAACTAAGGGCATGTAGGTGAAAATCCTACTAATGGGTGTTATCACTGACCTTATCATAAAAATGACAAATTATGATTTGAAGCAAGCGCCGCGGTGCTCGGTCGCTCTACTTCTCCCTCATGTTTCTCACCAGAACCAGCCTGTTGTTCTCTGTATGAATGGCTTGAAGAAAATTCACTTCTGACTAGGTCAGCCGGGCAGTTCTCCCCCGAAGACCGATTTTTCTCTGCGTTTTTTTGCATCTTTGTAGGTCATATGTAGGTTAATAATATCATATTTCACGCACGTCTGACGCCAGACTGTGTGCCAAACAAATCGTGGTACAATAATCTTCATAAAAAGACAAAAAGTTTGATAATTTGCACGTGGGTGGAATACTGCCAAGTTGCCCAGGCCAAGGGAGGCGAATTTTTCTAGAGGAATTCATAACCGGAGCTTTCGGCAAGCCAAAGCCTAAACCGCAAGTCAGCGGGGCGGTGTGCGGGAACCGCAATCCATTGGGGGCCGGGCCCAGTTCATCGGATTATGCGCCCTTTGGACGGGGTCAAACGTCTAGGGTGCTCAATACACCTTGACGCCTAATCGAGCCGGTGACCACTGCCACACCAAGAAGGATTTTTGTGTGTGGGGCTCGTACGCCTCTTCGTGGTTGGTTTGGAATCAGGGTTTTTGGCCAACTCCCTTAGGTGGAACGCCAATGGTCCACCAACCCGATTCAGCCACTTCTCATCTATCGCGACTGTCGGTGATTGGTAGTTCAATTTTAATTATGAGAAATATCAGTCTGTGTTTGACCATAAATTTCGTGACCGCCAGTCAACACTGAGCGCCACAATAACTTGAGTGGAAATCTTTTTGATTTCACTCTGTGATTGCCAGACATTGTATATCCCGCAACAAAAGCCAACCCGATCATAGTTGGTGCACTGTTTATGTTGGTTTCCGCGACGGCTTTTTGTCAACATTAATGGTGATTTTCGTACAGGTGGTTTTTCATTTTTTAGTCGATGCTGCAGATGACGGCTATCCAATAATAGGACTGTTTTGAATTGTTTTTTTTTCAGCGGTTCCTGATACAACAAAATACATTTACGACGAATCCACTCGGTTCTACTACGATCCAACTACAGGACTATTATATGAGCCGAACTCAAAGTACTTTTATGACCGGAACACTGTGCGTTACTATTACTGGGATCAGTCACGGAGTACTTATTTTCCGGTACCTCAAAGTACAACAGAGCAAACAGTCACTCAAGAATCGACCAGCTCAGCGAATTCTGCCAGTCAGTCGAATGCAGAACCCAAGGAACCAGTGGTGAGTGTAAGCTTTGAATCATTTCCGTGCTTTATATACAACACGCCACCGGAACCATGAACTTTGCGGATACAAGATGTTTCTGACTGTAAGGAATTGACAGCGCAATGTTGTCCTGAGGTAAATGATACCCAGTGTACGATGTTGGAATTTTCGACGAACGTCAAAATTTGTTTGTTCTAAAGCTGGCATGAGGGTGTGAAAACCCTAACCGGGAGTTTAGGTCACACAGGTCCCGTTAGGCTCCTTGGATGAGGACCTCGGCATGGTTGTACCCAATGGTTGGAGACACTGAGTGATATAGCTGGGTGTCGTAAACAGATGGCGTTCATGCATCTTCTCAATTTCTTTGTATCATTAGTCCACTGAACTTGTCAATTTGCTCTTCCTTTGAGTTAGTCGTTTCTGCTCATGATAGTGGTCTGTAATCGCGGTTTCGAGAACATTTTTTTACCACACACATTTGTGTGGTGAACAACAGACGAGGCGAAGCCCATAGTAACGAAGACCTGCTCCGTCATGGAAACCGATAACCTAAGTTGCACGATTGGAAGTGGCGAAGCACATAAGGCCCCGCGACGTTAGGCGTGGTATTGAATTGGACGACCACCGGATCTGTTCACAACAGAAAACAACAGCTTGATCCTAGCATGTCAGGTTATCTCATTGGTGGCAGCTGAAGCTTCGTTGGCAGTGGCATGTAGTCCTCCGAAAGAGCTAAAAGTCCCATCTTGCATTCAAACCCTTAAGAGAGGAACAGCGATAGAACCGTACGGGTTTCCTCCCCTCTTTTCCAGAATTGACGGTGATTATCTCATAGAGTCTTTAACTGATTTGCCGTGTAACGTCTGGTCGCAGGAGCACAATCTATCCGCTTGGGGCGGACAGAGGATAGTCTTCATTTTCAACAGGGAATCACGCAACTACTGTGTAAATCATGGTGTGATAACTTTATTCCGAACTGTCACCAGAATGTTAGCCTCCGTCATACGTCGAATTTTGACTCTTGTAAGACTGACCAATGCCTGTGATAAGAAAACCGTATTCGGACCTGGTCGTGGATCTATCAATCACGATTTCACCTTGCTTTCTTCCTGTTGTGACCCCCTTTGATGCAGTTCTAAACTGTCCTCAAGTTCGAAATTAATCTGCTAAAACGAAGTCAGTCAGTCTTTGAAAAAATTTCGGGCCTTGTTTTATCTGGATTTTCTGGTTTCCGATGCAGGGATAGCATCGGAGATTAGAGAATCCACTGTAGTTCAACTGACTGATAACTTGGGACACCTACTGAAGAACTCCAAACTTCATTTTCACACACCACCAGCATCAATCATTGCACCGATCGAAGGATGACGTGCATAGTGCTTAGTTCGATTGCAGCCTCTACTCAAAGCAAGAACACCTACTGTCCACTATCATTATATATAAATCAAGTTACTTCCGACTGTGCAAGAAAATCCTGCATTCAATGTCCACTGCAGAAGGATCGAACAAATGGAAGACAACAACGAAGTCCCTCGATGCAGTGATCGTCGCCTCCGAAATCCTCCGTATAGTTGGGGTTGGGTGTCTAAGGTTGCGGCTGGTCACCCGTTCCTTGCACCTTGCGAAACACGACCAAGCGTCTCAAATAGCCTTTGCTGAGGAAGCCCTACTTATTGTCTTCTCGTGGCAAAGGTGCTTTTGCACGAAAGTGAGAGGACCGGAAGCCGATATCCGGGGCTTTAACCGGGTTGGTGAACCACTGGTAATTCACCTAGGGGAATCGTCCAGATCCCTGATTTCAAACCAACCAAGAGGCGTACGAACCACACACATTACTTCCTGGTAGTGGCAATGGTCATCTGCTCGATTGGGCATCAAGGTGCATTGGGCACCCTGGACGTTCGACCCTGTCCGAAGGGTGTTCGATCCATTGAACTGGACGCTGGCCCCCACTGGTTTGCGGTGGTCACATTTCGCCCTACTGCCTTGCAGGTCAGGCTTTGGTTATTCAAAGGCTCCGGTTGTAGATTCACCTGCCTTGGCCTGGGCAAACTGGCAGTATTCCACCCACGTNCAAATTATCAAACTTTTTGTCTTTTTATGAATATTGTTGTACCACGATTTGTTTGGCACAGTCTGGCATCGTACGTGTGTGAAATATAATAATGTAATATATCACTTTGTCAAACACTCAAAGATCGGTAGTAGTTGTGCTTTTGTATTTACGAACCATATTGGATTCACATGACAGGACTGTTTCGTGAGAGTATCCTCTAAGAACCGACGCACCCAACAGAATACACTATAGAACGACCTCGGGGACATCAGTTAACAAAAAATCTCCGCTTCACTATACATTCTAACTCCACCGTCTGCAGTGGACATTTTTGGGAAAATGTCTGTTATTGAAAATGGTGATGCAGAGTTTCGGTCTGGTGGCGGAATCATTGACATAGGTGCTACACACTCCGTTGAACGCTCTTCAGTGAGTCAATTAGACACAATACGTGTTTTGAACCAACTGGAAAGCTAGGGTCTGGGGGAACACAGTTAACTATTATTAAAACGCAATTGATCGTCGTTATTTGGAGAAGTTTTCGGAAGTACGTGTTTTCTACGTAGTTGATTCGCTCGTTGATATCGTTTATCAATAGCGAGCAACAGAAGACCGGTGATTTTATGCCACCATGCGTATTTCAGTGATAAACTTGACCAGCGCCAGAAAAAAATGGGCAAACGGGAAAAGATTAGGCGTGGCTGAAATTGTCAATGCTTGTTTGAATAAAGGAACTGGGACTGGATAGTGTCAATTACGTCAACAGGAAGCAGGAATTNTATTGGGTAGAAGCATCTATTATGATTATCTCAATTTTACCTTTCCCTAACGTGATTTGATTTGCGTACGTGATTTAATGTTGCCAGTGCAACCTGTATACCCTATTAAAGGTTAGCCATAACAAACACAGTTTTGGGAATTCGAAAAGCTTTGTATTATTTGGTGAATATTAAAATTCAACTGACTGTCAGCTTCCTCTTTGTTGAAGCTTAACCCGGGCCAATTTTCATGCATTCTGTTGAGTTAGACCGGTTATTGGAGCACCGAGCCCTCTTAGTGCTCTGTTGGTTAGTTTCAGCCAACTTGCGGAGAAATCACTTCTCCCGTTTGTTATCCACAAATTGTAGTGAAAATGTTTTCCTTTTTGCAGTTGTGATTGTTTCCACTGCCCATAGCAGGTTTTCGTGACGATGGATTTCGGCTGTTCTACCGTCAATTAACAAAGTGTGCAATAAAAATTGAGGGAAAATTTTAAAAATACCGTTGCGATCGTAAACAGAAGCACACGAGTGAACTCACTATTGCACGGCGTTGTGCCTATGAGGTCAACACCATCAACCCAATTAGATAATGATTGTACTTGAGATCGTGGGAGCTGGCACTTGTAGCATTGGTCCCTGCGTCTGAAGTTATGACTCGAACACTAGAAAAAGAAGTACGAATAAACAAGGTTGAATAGAATTAGTCTGAAGTCAGTGAGCGATTATTTGAATTGGGAATGCGTGCTTAAGGGATTCTATCACCCAGTGAAACCACATATCTCGTCGAGATAAATGTTACTCCTGAAGCGACCGTCGACTCGGCCGACCACGTTGTAAACTGATGCTATCTCCGCCTGTAGGACTATCCGGATGAGTTCATTTGCCTAGTTTAACATCGGTGTACAGACAGTCGAAGCTGCGTTGGAACATATGGCTATTTCCGTCCGAATTCTCCACGAAAGGCAGTGTTCGCCAGGGCTGTGCGGTATCTTCTTCTCTCGCATTTTTAGTAAATATGGCTTACAAAATGACCATACCACCGTGCGAGGATTGCGGTTCCGCTTTTCTCCCAGACAGCAAGTTGTCTCATCCTGCTTGCGCTGTTTTCTCAGTGAAAATCGGGGTTGCAAGCCTTTACGGTTGGTTTCAGTTTTTGTTGATCTCTGTTCAGACTGCGCTTAGAATCTTTGAACTGCAAAATACTGCAACAGAACTGAGTTGGTTCAGTTCCGAACCTCAATCGTCTCGGGGTAGGTAGCCTAAGAGACAGGAACATTTTCCTATCTGAACAGCCACATTCCACCTGGTGTCAAGTCAAGTCCAGTAAAGCTTCATGCCCCCAACAGGACGAATCCTGGATGAACTGTCGACACGCATACGAAAGACTCGGTTTTTGTATCCCAGTGTTGGACAACTGTGACACGGACGAGACATCCGCAAGTCTGAAGAACTGAATGTACGCCCCTGAGCTTCAGGCGACGCTGTTGTATGATACAGAGACCTGACCGTTGCGGGGCAGAATAAAGATGACTCATGGTTTTCAAGTACAGCTGTCTGTAACGCATGCGATGAGTCCTGGGGAACAACCGGACAAGTGATGCTGGGGTTAACTGCAGTTTTTAGTTATCGTGGTCGCTCCCTCTGGATCAAATGCTCGACCTCCTTAGGTCACATTGGCAGGAATTGGCAGGATAAGAAGCTTCTGGGCACATTGTTCGGGAGTCAAATGTTTAACACGGATGGCTTCGGCTATGGTCAACGTATGCATTCTAACATATTTAGACCTCATCCAGGGGTACTTGATAAGCAATTCTGAATGCTTCACTTGTGTTAATACGATGGTGTGTTTATCAGGTGGGTGAGAACCATATTGACCGAACAATATGACAGAGTGCAGTGACGTTCGTGCATCTACTTAATTTCATCCTAACAGTAGTTTATCTGAATTCGCTTTCTTCACTTCCAGCATTCTATTTTTTCCACAATACGACCCGGGCAAACAAATGTTTCCTTAAACATTTGTTTACTACTGTACCAGAATATAGTAATCCTTCATGCAAATAAGTAGCCAAAAGACAGCAATCCGAAGCGTTGTATGAAAGTACAGGGCTGTTCGTTGTACAAACTGAACACTGAGCAGCAACCTCGTAACTGACAGACAACTCTCGGATTATTTCCTTACACGTAAAGGTTCCATTGGTGACCTGTAATTCAAGGCACTTATAGCACCACCGCCAAAAACGGTTGTCCATCAGGGGTCGTATGTATGCTGCGGTAATCCGGACTATAGACCTATGCGGTGCAGATGGGTGGTTGTCATAGGAGACAGATGTGCACAGATTACCCGTGTTTGAACATCACGCTGTACGCGGCGTTGCGCATGGTACGTGGCGCCCGATGAATTTCCTCGGCGTGCGATGGTTGCCTGTCTCTGGTCAAGGTAAGATGAAGTAATTTTTAGTTCAAGTCATCTTTCTCCGCTTTTTCTTTATTTTGTTTGATCGAGTTACCGTATGGAACTTTATTCTTTCTTTTCTAGGTTAGACCGTCGAAAGGAAAATCCGCGCAACAGATCGCGAAGGAAATGGAGAAGTGGGCAAAACGAATGAATGCTCATAAGAAAAACCTGTCAACTCCCGTTCAGCGCAGCGACTCTAACGCCGTATGTATATGAATACACATTCTTTTTTGTATTCACTCTTTAGTGCGCATGACGTCCGACCAATATGTATTCCATTTGTAGATTTCTCGCAGCTCCGGTTGTTCGTGGAGCTAACTGACTGATGAGAGTTAAACAGATATACTGTCACTGCAAAGGCTTTTCTAATTTTTGGTAACACAACCACATATCGATGTAGTTTTTAGCATTTGCAGTTGTTATCGTCTAATTTGACGAGGCTCAAAATGAGCCTCATTTAATTACCAGGTTGCCGACCAACTGGGAGTAGAATAGCACGCAGTTGATGCTCTGTCTGATGAAAGTGAAAGCGCGGTTAGTGATTATATGCCGGTCTCTTGCTGCACAAATAAGACTTATTTACGGAACGATGTAGGATTTATTGGTTCGCATGGACTCCAAACTGGATTTTCCAACTACAGGTCGATGCCAGTCGCCAAGAATGTTGTACCACATGAACCAGTTCAAACATAAGCGCTGTCCGAGAATCAGCTTGAGGAAGAAGGGGAGGTAGCTGATGATATCGGAGATGTGTTTTATCACGGCCTGTTTGCGCTTCGGCTGTTACTTGTGTGAGTGGCTTCTCACGAACTTGTTTCACCTTATATCACCTTCGTTGTTAGTTTCTTCTTTCTTTTGTCGTTCTTGTTTAGTCGTGTTGCATTCGGATTTCGTGAAATGGCACAGCTGTTGCAAAGGTTCGCTGTTGAATGTGGGTAACCTTTTCGTCTGTTTGTTCTAGGCTCCAGCATGCTAGTTAAATAAATCAGATTTGGTTGGCATTGTTCTCGCACCTTACGCTATGTCCGTGTGCCAAAATCTCAAACGTTGTTTGGCAAGTCCTTTGATGACGGTCCACGGGAGAGTTTTAGATGTAGAAAAGAATCCAATATACACTTCGCTCCCATTAAAAAGGTATACAGTAACGGAGTTAGCCGCGAAATCGAGAACTGTGGCGAAGAATGAATTTTATGCGGTAAATTTAGGTGTCGTATTCACGTCCAGACCGACATTCTGTCGCAACTCATATATAAGACTCCTGCTCCTGTAATCTTATTTTGTGTGTATCCCTTTACGTGTTCCTGTGGAGTAAGCAGCGTGCGCCTATCTACAAGAGGTCAGGAAAATTATCCGGTCTGACTAAACACTGGTGTGAATGAAACTATAGCAGTACCACCGTTTCACTTCTCGTTGAATCCGATCACACAGTGAATGTGGATGGAAAATCACATCCCAGCTACCGCGGAGGCGGTTGGAATTCGTCCGCATACAACGTCGCCCCCCGCTGTCGTATCTCATTTCACGAGCAACATGAACGAAGCGTGAAAAGATCCGAGGTCAAGAGCAGCCATATCTGGTCCGTGGAACTGAGACAGTTAACAAGAATATCCTCATTTACCTAATTATTTGACGTTTCCTTTTCCAATACCACATGATATAAAGTGTGATGTAATAGCCGGTTGATGAGTCACCGAAAAGAAGCTTGTTAGTTGAACTGTTTTTTTTTTAATATGTGCCGCTGGATTAATCCAGGTTATAATTAAAAGAGATTAAATTTGTCTGGATATGGTCAATCACATGATGGCAGTGTAGTGAAGACAATGGTGCAGCCATTTTGAATAGTGAGTCGTGTACATGCCTCTCCGGACCTTTTGGTTCATGGTTGCTATCATATTCTGGTTTTCTCGTTAATACACCCTTTTCTATTGCGTATTGCATAAACCCCTTTTTCTATTACAGCTCATGTACCGGATTCATTAGTTGAGTAAAGCGTATAATTCCGACTCCGAGTCTTTAAACTTCGTAACAGATCAACGTTTGGTAGCCTATATTTTCAATGACAACCACGCTACTAAAATCAAAAACGACAAAATCCAGAGATGGAAACTCGAGCCGGCAGCTTACCACTATGACATAGTATACCGACCCGGTAAAGACAACCCGTCGGAGACGCACTCTCCCGTAAAGTATGCGCTCCCAACTTTGTCTGCCAGAAACTGAAGACGCTACACGACTCGCTGTGCCACCCTAGAATCACGCATATGATCCACTTTGTGCGCTCCAAAGATCTACCGTACTCAGCTGATGAAGTTAAAACAATAACTTCTCGATGCAGCATATGCGCCGAATTGAAACCACACTTTCATAAGTCGCTCACGGGGCACTTAATCAAGGCTATGGAACCATTTGAAAGACTCGGTATCTGCTTCAAAGGGTCATTACCCTCAACGTCTCGCAATCGGTACATTCTGACGCTCATAAACGAATACTCCCGGTTCCCACTGGCCTTCGCATGTCCAGATATGCGGTCGTCTACGGCTATTCACTGTCTCTGCCAACTATTTTCAATTTACAGGAGGCCAGCCTATATCCACTCGGATCGGGGTTAGTCATTTATCGTCTTAACCATCAACTTTCCTAAGAGATGAAGGAGTGGCTATCAGTCATACAACCACATACAATCCGCAAGCTAATGGTCAGGTTGAACGATTAAATGGTACTCTTTGGAAAGCTATTTCCCTGGGAATCCGTCCTACCAGAGGCACTGCATTCGATCCGTTCTTTCTTATGCACCGCCACAAACGCCACTCCAAATGAACGACTTTTCTTATTTGTCCGACTCTCCACCAGTGGTACATCTCATCCAACCTGGTTGATTTCTTCTGGCCCCGTACTGCTCAAACGCATGGATCGGTCCTTGAAACTGGATCCCCTCGCGGAAAACGTTGACCTTATCAACTGCAGTCCGCATTACGCCTTAATGAAACTTCCTAATGGAAGAACAGAGGA